ATCTTCTTGCTTTCCGTCGCGCCCTCAAGACATGGCTCTTCCAGCAAGCGGACCTGACCTAGGGAGGATTTTATTTGGGGTTTATCTTTTAACAATTTGACAGAGACACAACTTTAAAATTTGATTTAATTCGGTTTTATCGGGGGGGAATGTATTTATGTTTTGTTTTAAATATGTTGTGCGCCGCCCTGAGTCCCGTCGGGAGAAGGGCGGCATATAAATTAAATTTATTATTAATTTATTATTATTATTATTTGGATTTCAAACGTTAAAAGAGCCATGGTGGCGCAGTGGTTAAAATGCAGTATTGCAGGCTAACTCTGCCCACTGCTAGAAGTTCGATCCTGACTGGCTTAAGGTTGATTCAGCCTTAAATCCTTCCGAGGGCAGTAAAATGAGGACCCAGGTTGTTGCGGGAAAAATGCTGACTCTGTAAACCGCTTAGAGCAGGCATGTCAAACTCACGACATCATGTAATGTCGCGCAATGTATCGGGACTTTTCCCCCATTGGCGGGAATGAAGTGGGCGCGGTTTTGGTGTGACACATCCAGGCCGCGGGCCGGCAGTTTGACATGCCTGGCTTAGAGAGTACTGTAAAAGCACTATGAAGTGGTATATAAGTCTAAGTGCTATTGCTATTACTATTGCAGGCGAACTCTGCCCACTGCCAGGAGTTCGATCCTGACCGGCTCAAGGTTGACTCAGCCTTCCATCCTTCTGAAGGCAGTAAAATGAGGACCCAGATTGTTGGGGGCAAGAAGCTGACTCTGTAAACCGCTTAGAGAATACTGTTAAAGCACTATGAAGCGGTATATAAGTCTAAGTGCTAGTGCAATTGAGTTGTGGGCTCAGAAGAAGTCACCGATTCTTTGATTTCTGCCGAGAAAGTTTTCACAAAGTGGATTTTTCCATTTTAGTAGCAACTCCCCAATAGCAAAATAAAAATAAAAAAAAAGAATGCAACAGATGGTTTCATCCTTCCGAGGTCGGTAAAATGAGGACCCGGATTGTTGTGGGCAAGATGCTGACTCTGTAAATCACTCTGTAAAGCACCATGGAGCGGTATATAAGTCTACGCGCTATTGCTAAAATCTAAGTTCCAAGTTGACAGCAGTGTTTGCTTTAAGGATTGGTCAACAGAGCCCCCCTCCGCAAAGACTTTGAGGATGGAGAGTTGAAGGAATAACCTTCATTCACCCATATCTGAAGGCCGAACCTTGACTGAATAGCTTCTCTCACCTGCCAAGGGCTTGGTTCAGAGCCCTGTAGGCCTGGATTTCGTACCACTGGCTTCCTGTCAGAAGACCCCTGGCTTTTGAGTGTTGATCGTTGTATTTCCTTTTCAGTTCCACCTGGAGAAATTACAACTACAGTAAAATTCTCTGCAAAAAGATCAAGCATAACAGGATTTGATTTTTTCAACAATACCTGGGGGCGGGGAGAAAGGCACCTCCCCAGCGTCCATCCATCTTGGTTGGACTAAATCAGGGGTCCCCAACCCCCGGTCTGTGGACCGGCACCGGCCACGGCATGCCAGCAACCGGCCGCACAAACAAGCCCTATCCATGGGATGCAGGGAGCACACAAAACCATGCACTCTCTGGTCTGCAGAAAAACCTCTCTCCACGGAACCGGTCCCTGGTGCCAAAAAGATTGGGGACCTTTGGACCAAATGACAGGTAGTCCTCGGCTTACGACCATTTGTTTAATGACCGTTCGAAGTTATGATGGCGCTGAAGAAAAAGGGACTCAAGACCAGCCCCGATGAGTATTGCAGCGTCGCCCGGTCACGTGATCAAAATTTGGTTGCTTGGCAACAGGCATGTATTTATTTTATTCATGAAATAAATTGATCGAGGTGGTCCTCAATTTCTGTTGCTAAGCGAGACAGTTGCTAAGTGAGTTTTGCTCCATTTTATGACCTTTCTTGCCCCAGTTGTTAAGGGAATCCTTTTCTCTGAAATGGTATAGGGTTTCCTGCCTAAGAAGGGGGTTGGACTAGAAGACCTCCAAGGTCCCTTTCAACTCTACTATTACTACTACTATTACTATCCAGTTTCCCCGTTGACTTTGCTGGTCAGAAGGTCGCAAAAGGGGACACACGTGTCCCCGGGACCGTCATAAATATGAGTCAGTTGCCAAGCATCTGAATTTTGATCATGTGACCGTGGGGATGCTGTAATGGATGTAAGTGTGAAAACCGGTCATAAGTCACTTTTTAAAATGCCGTTGTAACTTTGAACAGTCACTAAGCGAACTATTGTAAGCCGAGGACTAACTGTATATTTTACTACAGATAGTCCTCGACTTGAAACCATTGGTTGTAGCACCCCGGGGTCCCGGGATCCTCTTTTGCGACCTTCTCACAAGCAAAGTCAATGGGGAAGCCAGATTCACTTAGCAAGCGTGTGACTAACTTAACACCTGCGGTGATTCACTTAACAACTGTGGCAAGAAAGGTCGCAAAATGGGGCAAATCTCACTTAACAGGTATCTCGCTTAGCCACAGAAATTTTGGGCTCCGTTGTGGCCGTATATTGAGGACTAGCTGCGCTACAAATGCCAGAAGGGATTGGAACTTACACAAATCTCTCCTCTTCGCTTAACTGAAGAGTAACCCACTCTTTTACTATTGAGTTAGTGATTTGTTCTAAACCAGGGGAAGGCAACCTTGGCTCTTTTATGACTCGTGAACTTCAACTCCCAGAATTCCTGATCCAGCCATGCTGAGGAGAAATGGAGAGTTTCCATGCTGAGTCATGCTGGCTCAGGAATTCTGGGAGTTGAAGTCCACGAGTCATAAAAGAGCCAAGGTTGCCTATCCCTGGTATAGGGTTTCCTACCTGAGCAGGGGGTTAGCCTAGACCATGGGTAGGCAACCTTGGCTCTTTTATGACTCGTGGACTTCAACTCCCAGAATTCCTGAACCAGCCATGCTGAGGGGAAAGGGAGAGGTTTCCATGCTGAGCCATGCTGGCTCAGGAATTCTGGGAATTGAAGTCCATGAGTCATAAAAGAGCCAAGGTTGCCTACCCCTGTTCTAAACCCACAACTGAATACACCCTGTGTCCATTGTCCAGTGACCAATGACACGTGCATATGTGTGTCAAGTGAGCAGGGCACATACAATCCAATGGCATTCTTCCTACCCTCACTTTGCACAGGGCATTGAATTGTACGTGCACAGGGTGTATGCTGTGTTGGTGCAGTGGTTAGAATGCAGTATTGCAGGCTAACTCTGCCCACTGCCAGGAGTTCGATCCTGACCAGCTCAAAGTGGATTCAGCCTTCCATCCTTCCGAGGTTGGTAAAATGAGGACCCAGATGGTTGGGGGCAAGATGCTGACTCTGTAAACCGCTTAGAGAGTACTGTAAAAGCACTATGAAGCAGTATATAAGTCTAAGTGCTGTTGCTATTACTATTGCAGGCAAACTGCCCATTGCCAGGAGTTCGATCCTGACCGGCTCAAGGTTGACTCAAGCCTTCCATCCTTCTGAGATCGGTAAAATGAGGACCTAGGTCAGTGATGGCGAACCTTTTAGAGACCGAGTGCCCAAAAACCGCCCCCTGCCCCTGCTCCACCTCTCATCCTGCCTGCTCCACCCTGCCCGTCCACCCTCAGGGCCACGCACCGCCTCCATGGCCCGCCGCAGATCGCCCAGGCAGCCCTGCAGCGCCATGGCAGCCACGCCCTCCGTCCACACCCCGCAGCATCATCTGCACGCTATGGGGTGCGAGGGTGGAGTCTTGTCCCTGCTGCCTGGCTATGTCCTTGGCTGCGCTGCTCCGTGCAGGCCGCACCCGGGGGTGACTTTCCTCCAGGGGGTCTTCTGCTGAGGAGGGGGCCACGGGGGGGGGGGGAGGCGGGGTTGGGGTGACGGCACGTGTGCCCACAGAGAGGGCTCCGAGTGCCGCCTCTGGCATGCGTGCCCTAGGTTCGCCACCACTGACCTAGGTAGTTGGGGGCAAGATGCTAACTCTGTAAACCACTTAGAGAGCGCTGTAAAAGCACTATGAAGCGGTATACAAGTCTAAGTGCCAGTGCTATTCAGTTGTGGGTTTAGAAGAAGTCACTTATTCTTTGATTTCTGCCAAGAAATTTTTCACAAACTGGATTTTTCCATTTTTTTAAAAAAAAAGAGGCTGGGAACAAGAGTGCCAACAAATGCTAATTTAGAAAATCAGCTATTTTATTCTGCAAACCTGTTGTTTTGAAAGGGAAGGCACCCAGCCACACAATGGAAGGTTAATTTCACTGCTCTTTTATTCGGTATTAACCTTTCAAAACTGACAACTGAAAGCACAAGCTTCAAGAGAGAACACAGCCGACTCCTAACAGCTTCTGACAGGTAACCCTCAGCTCTCGCTTAGGTAAAAGAATTCTTTTCTTTTCATGTTATTTTATGGGCCCGTGCCCTTTAAAACAACCTGTCAAATTCACAAATTCAAACTTCACAGGCAGAAAGCAAATTCAGTTTGATCTCATGGCTCTGATATTTGTTTCTGTCACTCAGAATTTATGAACTTTGGGCCAAAGGTTTTCCCAACGCTGTTTGAAGTTTGCAGAGGGAACCCTTTAATTTGATTTAATAATTTAATATTTATCAGGTTTAGGTACCTCATCTGCAACAGGCCCAGAATAGATGGTGAACAACTTCTAATTCTGAATCAAATACAATAATCTGCAAATCGCTCTTTTTGGCTATCAACGGCGCATTGTTGCAACAATACAGCTAGATATAGGCAGGTAAGTGAATCACTTGAGTTACAACCATTTGTTTAATGACCGTTGTAGCATGCCAACAGTCTTGGGATGAATATTTGTGCATGTGGGGATAGGCATGTATTTACAATGGTTGCAGCCCCCTGGGGTCATGTGATCACTGCTTGCAACCTTCCCAGCTGGCTTCCGAGAAGCAAAGTCAATGGGGGGATCTGGGTTCACTTAACCAAGTGATCCCCTTAACAACTATCAGGGGTAGGCAACCTTGGCTCTTTTATGACTCGTGGACTTCAACTCCCAGAATTCCTGAGTCAGCATGGCTCAGCATGGCAACCTCTCCATTTCTCCTCAGCATGGCTGGCTCAGGAATTCTGGGAGTTGAAGTCCACGAGTCATAAAAGAGCCAAGGTTGCCTACCCCTGGAGCCTATGCCAAAAAATCATAAAATTGGATGTACCTTATTTAACCTTGCTTAGCAATGGAAATTCTGGTCCCAGTTGTATCTGTACATAGTCCTTGACTTACAACCACTCATATAGTGACCGAAATGACAATGGCACTGAATAAAGTCACTTATGACTGTCTGCAGCATCCTCATGGTTTATAAAAAGAAATAATAATAATAATAATAATAATAATAATAATAATAATAATAATAATAATAATAATGATGATGATGATGATGATGATGATGATGATGATGATGATGATGATACAGTTGAAAGGGACCTTGGAGGTCATCTAGTCCAACCCCCTGCTCAGGCAGGAAACCCTATACCATTTCAGACAAATGGCTGTCCAGTCTCTTCTTAAAAAACCTCCAGTGATGGATCATTCACAGCTTCTGGAGGCAGGTTGTTCCACTGGTTAATTGTTCTAACTGTCAGGAAGTTTCTCCTTAGTTCTAGGTTGTTTCTCTCCTGGATTAGTTTCCATTTGTTGCTTCTTGTCCTGCCTTCAGGCGCTTTGGAGAATAGCTTGACTCCCTCCTCTTTGGGGCAGCCCCTGAGATATTGGGACACTGCTATCGTGTCCCCCCTCGTCCTTCTCTTTGTTAAACTAGACATACCCAATTCCAGCAACCGTTCCTTATATGTTTTAGCCTCCAGTCCCCTAATCATCTTTGTTGCTCTTCTCTGCACTCTTTCTAAGTCTCAATATCTTTTTTACATTGTGGTGACCAAAACTGGATGCCGTATTCCAAGTGTGGCCTTATCAAGGCCTTGTAAAGTGGTATTAATACTTCACGTGATCTTGATTCTATCCCTCTGTTAATGCAGCCTAGCACAGTGTTGGCTTTTTTGGCAGAAGTGGTGGCGAATGGTACGACTGTTAGGGAGCTGTGGTGGCACAGTGGTTAGGATGCAATATTGCAGACTAACTCTGCCTACTGCCAGCAGTTTGATCCTGACTGGCCCAAGGTTGACTCAGCCTTCCGTTCTTTGGAGGTCGGTAAAATGAGGACTCAGATTGTTGGGGGCCATAGGCTGACTCTGCAAGCCGCTTAGAGAGGGCTGTAAAGCACTGTGAAGCGGTATATAAGTCTAAGTGCTATTGCTATTGCTTCCTTCCTTCCTTCCCTCCCTTTTCTCCTTCCTTCCTTCTTATGGTGGTGCAGTGGTTAGAAT